CCCCCCCCCCCCCCCCCCCCCGGGACAGGAGGACTTCAGGAGCTTCCTTGCCCGGACCTTGGGGCTCCTCCTTGAGCGGTCTGAGGGGCACGGCGAGGCCGACTCCGAGAGCGAGGAGAGCCAGGAAGGGCCAGGAGCGGGGAGGTCCGCCGTTATGCTGCTGGGCACAGGTGCCAAGCAATATTTTGCTTTTCCCCCCACCAGCTCTTCCGGGGCCCTTTGTGTTGGGGGAGGGGGCATCCTATGCTTCTGATCCACATGTGGCCTCCCCTGTAACACGTCGCACATCTCACACCTCCACGGTGATGCGGTTGTCCGATGAGATCTCAGATCCAAGGACTGTGGATAGCATCAAGGTCCACAAGGACCTGGACGTGGACGCAGAGATGGATGCGCTCGACTTCGGTCTCTTCCATGCAAAGCCGAAGCTGCGAGTGCTCATCTACCAGAGCATGCCAGTGGTTTGGATAGGCCTGTCGATGGCTTGGCCTGTTCTTCTATCCGGCTTTCTCAGGCTGTTGTGGTGCGTGCCCATTCCAGAGGGCGACGGCATGTCCACCTTGCGGCTGCTTCCGAGCCCGGACATCATTTGTAGCTCCGATGCACACGAGCTTACGGCGACTCTTGCTCTGACAGGGCTGCTGGTGTGGTGCCTGGGCATCCCTCTGGCGCTCTTCACTCGAGTGCTGGCTCTGCGAGACCGGCGCGCCCCGGAAACATACAGGAGGTATGGTTACTTTATTCAGGCCGGCCTCCTGCACCATGCATTGAGTGCAGTAAGCATCAGAAGCAGTGCGCATGTAGCATGATCCGTCCCGGCAGGGCTACGAGCCGCAGTTCTGGTATTGGGAGCTGGTGGTGAAGCGCATTGATGTTGGCCTGGTGATGCTGTTCACCTACAGTGCGGTCGTGCCGGACGCCGAGGCCAAGTTGCTGCTGCTCCCTCTGTTGTCAGGTTTTCAAACCATTACCACAGCGTGGCTGAAGCCATACGCCAATAGCCAGAACCAGATCCTTGACTTTGTGGACGTGTACTTGGGCACAGTGCGGTTCATCCTGTTCAGTTGCATCGCGGCCCTCCTGATCCTACAGCCAGGGGAGGGGCCGACCCATGCGCTGGCCGCCTTTCTGCTGTGCATGCTCCTGGCCACGATCACCTATCTGGTCCTCCACATTCTCGTGCAATTCCTCCGGCACGCAGCCGTCGATGACCACAGCTCGGAAGGGACAGAGCTTGCAAAGCTCAGCTCCCTGAGCAGCAAGAGAGTCCCAGAGCGTTGGGTTCCGAGCGCGTTAGGCCGCTTTTTCCTGTTGAAGGGGCACCTTGTAAGGTTCCTTTCGGCGTGCGGCTTTGCGATTCATCTTGCTCGCCTTTCAGCCCGCGGACAGCGACAACATTTCCATCAAGTGGTCGTTCGAGGACACTCGAAACATGCTTCCAGGTTGCCCTCCCTAAAACCTGCAGATAGCGAGATTCTTCGGACCGAAAAGTCTGGTGATTTTGGAGGACGGCGTGATTTCGGCCACTTCGGCGGGCACTGCAAGCTCCAGGGCGGCCCCGCGAGCCTTGGCCAGAGGTTAAAACTCGAGCCCGGGGTGTCCCGAAAGCACGAGCCGAAGATATATATATATATATATTATATCATGCACAACAACAACGACGACAGCAGCAACAACAACAACAACCGCGTGCGGTAGGTGTCGGGTGTCCAGGCTGAAGAACTTGCGGTCTTCTGTTTTTGAGATACTTGGGGTTTAGGTTTGGGCTTCGGCTGTGGGCTGCAGCGCCTGAAGCCCACGCTTTCCAAAGCATTGAGATCCTTCTAAACGCCCTTTCAAACACCACGAAAAGCCCTTGACAACTCCCATTAAAACCCCATCAACATCATCGCATAAGATCCTAAACTCCATTAAAGCCCTTAAACCCCGTTAAAACCCTCCAGAATCCCATGACAACGTTGCCGGTAACTTTTAAGTCTCTTGCAAAATCCATGAAAACCCTTCTACACTTCGCAGATTCATACCTAAAATGGAAACCCGGTGTAGTGTGGGCGGTTGTTGTAGAAGTTAGCAACGCGAACGTTTCATCTTTGTATTGTAGGCGTTGTGAACTTCAAGGACACTACAAGATTGAAATTTCTGTATCTTTGTCTTGTAAGCGTTGTGAACTTGAGGACGCTATCAGTTTGTAACGCGAACGCCAACCCATGATAACCCATGTCAACCCTGAAATTTATGTATCTTTGTATTGCAGGCGTTGTGAACCTTAAGGACACTATGAACTTGTAATGCGAACGTCCACCCTGAAATTTCTGTATCTATGTATTGTAGGCGTTGTGAACTTTAGTACTCTATAAGTTTGTAACGCGAGCCTCCACCCCGAAATTTCAGTGTCTTTGTATTGTAAGAGTCGTGAAAATTAAGGACACTCTGTGTTTGTAACTCGAAAGTCCACCCTTCAAGTTCTGTGTCTTTGTATTGTAGGCGTTGTGCAGTTTAAGGACAATATAAGTTTGTATCGCGAACGTCCACCCTGAAATGACCGTATTGTAGGCGTTGTGAACTCTAAGGACTTTATAAGTCAAGTTTGTAGCGCGAACGTCCACCCTTCAATTTCTGTATCTTGTGACGAAAAACGAGCGACGCAGAAAGGCAGAATCCCAGCAGAGGGTTACAAATTTTGAAGGCTGACACGCAGGACCAGGATCCCCCGCAGAGGGTTCGTAATTTAAGCCATGCGATGTGCTTTCCCAAAAAGTACTGCTGGATTAGGGAACGATGCCGACATGCTTTCCCCAAGTACTGACGGATACTGGCGAGTGAGACACACAGCAAAAAATATGGAATGAGAGAATCAGGAAAAAGCAATGACCCTCGATGAATGGCGCAAATTCCACGATGCTCCCAAACAACAGCATGCGCGATGAAGGTTGCGACAATATAGCCAAAATAAAGCCTTTTACGAGGGAAAGTGCGCCTTTTCCAAACTTCCACCCGGCCCGCGTCGCTTGTCAACACGACGCCGAAAAAAGCAATGATGCTCAATGAGGGTTGCGAGTTTTAAGCTTGCTGCGAAAGGCCGAAGGCACGATCCCTCGTAGAAAACGACAGAACCCCCTTTTTTTCGAGGTCGCACCCGGTCGCACCCATCATTTGTTATGGAAGATTTCAGACAAAATCCCAATGATGCTCGATGAGGATTGCCAAATCGGGAAGAGCACAAGAGGCCCAAAGTGCACGATCCCTCGTAGAACACGACATACTTCGAAGGCCTTTTGCAGACATTTCCAGACGAACCCAATGATGCTCGGTAAACCTCGCGAAAAACAAACGGTTTTTCGCATGTCTATGAAACAAAAACACCAATGATGTCCGATGGGGTTGCAAACTCGAGAATATTCCCCAAGCACACCCAGTGCACGATTCCTCTTTTTTTTCTTAAACGGCCATGGCGCCACTTCGCTTTCAAAGCGAGAAGCAAAAAAATATGATGCTCGCTAAGAGTTGCGAAATTTGAGCTTTTTCGAGTCGCGAAAAAATCGATCGAAGTGGACGATACATCGTTTATAACGACCGTGGACACCTCTCGCCTTTTTCATGCTCGAAAGCACGACACGCAGGATCCCCGCAGAGGGGTCCCAAATTCGAGGATTCAAGTCCGAAACCCTAAAACATACTAAACCTCTAAACCCTAAACCCTAAACCCCTAAACCCTAAACCCTAAAGTCCCATTGCATCAAAAAAAACCCTAAACCCTACTAAACCCCACTAAACCCCACGGTTCCAGGCTCGAAGAGTTGGCTGGCCTTGCGGAGCCTCCGGGCCAGCGTCCTCCGCTTCGGCCCGGGCAGCCAGGATAAAGCCCTCCTGAAGGCCAGCGCAACCTTTTTTTTGTTTGGAGGGTTCCCACCTCCCAAAAAAGAGGGTATGCTCGCGGTTTAGGGTTTAGGGGTTTAGGGTTTAGGGTTTTAGGGTTTTAGGGTTTAGGGTTTGGGGTTTAGGGTTTAGGGTTTAGGGGTGAGGGTTTCAGGGTTTGCACTATGTCACCAGTTCTACGGTTCTCACCTGTAAGCTAGTTGAGGGTTCAGGGCTTACACTACGACTTGGGGTTGAGAGCTCTCCTGTCAAGGCCAACGAGGAGTTCACGGCGTTCCTGCTCAAGGAGCTAGCTTCTCGATAAGACTCATGTAAGACACAAGTTGAACTAACGCCCTCAGGATTTTAGTAGAAGCCGTGTCATGCAGCTCATCATCTCTTTTTGACTAGAGCGAGTTATCTAAGCTAAATTCAGCTCTTTACCAGATCCATTTCATTTTTGGATTCATGTTTTTCCAGTTTTTCCTTTGTGAGATAGACGTAGATTCCTGCTGCAGGAGCTAGGCCAGCGTGAGCTTCCCAGCGAGAGCGGCAAGCTGCTGTGCGCCCTCGCAACCGCGGGCCGCAATCTGTCCACTCTGGCCAAAACCCGTGTAGGCAAAGCGTGGCTGGAGGCAGTCCTGTTGATACAGTCGAGACTGTTTAGGGCTTCAGGGTTTATGGGCTGCATATTTGTCCTTTTCATACGTTGAAGCCCGTGTTGAATCAAATGCAGCTTTAAGTCCGCCCCATGGCTGGAGGCCGTCCTCGCCATGGATGAGGCGGGACACGGCAAGGTTTGCACGCCGGAGGACTTGGAGCTCGCCGTTGCACGACTGCGGCAGATGCCGGGCAAGGACGCCCAGCAGCTGATCTTCAGCGTGGCCAGACTCTGCACAGAGCACGTGGTGATGGCAGGGTTGGTGCGCGAAGGGGCCACGCTTCCGGATGATCCCAGCCAGGTCGGGAGCTCTGCAGTGAGTGAAAAGCCGTAAAGACAACAGCGATACTAGAATACTAGAAGTTACCCCAAACCGGGACTGAGGTGTTGAGCAGCCTCCGCAAGACATTGCTTTCGGAGTGGACTGCTGATGAGATGGTGGAGGGCTTTGTCACAGATGCGGACAATACTGGCCACCTCGAGGAGGAGGTCGCAGAGGTGGCAGTCGAGGCGGGGAGTCTCGAGGAAAGCGATCAGGTGGGGGGTGTCCGAAAATAGGGGACCCTAATAGAGTACCCTGAATAGTAGGATCCTTCTTAATAAGGACCCCAAAGTAAGGTACCCCTAATTTTCGGAAAGTCCCAGGTGGAGATCCCACAACAGAGAGCTTCGCAGAACGAGGACGAGTCGCTGGAGGTGTAGGCAATATCACCACGGCCGACGGCTTCCCCCTTTCCGGTTCTGCTTCGTCTCACTCAATAGGGCCTATAGGGCCATAGGCTATAGGATTGAGGGTTTCGCAGACGATGAAGTATCATCTGCAAGTGAGATGAGGAAGATCGATTTTGAATGATAGCTTTCATTATATAATGACAAGTTGTTACAAGTTATGAGAAGGTCTGCGAACCACATGTACATACATTTTTTAGCCGCTGACTCGTTGTTTCTAGTAGCATGTTTTTTTTGACTGCGTTCAACACAGCGTGGACTCGCCCCCGTTCGAAAATAAGAGATGGAAGTGATTGCGCAGATTATGATTGAATATTTTATGTCTGGAGATGTTGCTTTATAAGTATATAACTATGTATATGAAGATATCTTCCAATATTCTATGTCGTCAGAGGATGAAACACTTTTCAAGGACTTGGAATGAAGGTTTTCCTGCGTCAGATCCCATAGTCTCGATGCAGCCATATCGGCTGACGGGCCTTGCGTTGACAATCCCAGTGGGAGAATAGCAGGCCATGGCAGTTTGGAGTTTAGATGACCCCAATAATGTAGGGGCCTTATAATTGGAATAGGGTTTTGGGTGTTCCTTATTTTCATTATAGTGTATTGGATGCTTTTGGGGTTTACAGGAAGAATTGATCGTTTACGCTTTCACTTTAAACCCTAAAGCCGTACTTGATTTGGGCGACAAGCTGCTTCTGCACCTTCGAATTAAGGAAACCCGAAGCAGAAAACAGCAAAACCCAGAACCCCGAAACACCAAATCCCTAAACCCTAAACCCTAAACCCCTAAAACCCTGAACAGAAAGAGCCTGGGACCGTGGAGAGACCTGGCGCCTTCCCAGTGATAAGCGCAGGTAGCTTTGGGTTTCGCAATGCTGCTTTCAACCTAAACCTCAAACCTTGGCTTGTCGTAATCCCTAGGTTTAGGGTTTAGGGTTTAGGGTGTAGGGTTTAGGGTTTAGGGAACCCCAAAAGACTCCACACAGCCCGAAGGGCAAGGTCGTTGGAGCTGGAGTGGGGGAGCCCCAACGCACAAACCCAAAGCCTACCCTAAACCCTAAACCCTGGCTTCCACCCCCCCAAGTTTAGCCTACAGTTGGAAAGGGTTAGGGTTTAGGGTTTGGGGCTCCATCACTAAATCATGCGGGACCTGAAGCATCGAGCTAACCCCCCAATCCTATATCCCACATCCCGCACCCGAACTCGGAGCCATAACTGTGATGATCAGAATGACGGTGATGATGTGATGACGATGATGATGCTGATGATGCTGATGATGATGATGATGATGATTGTTTATGGCTTAGTCTTTGGTCTTCAAGCTTTTGGGCTTAGGCTGTAGGGTTTAGGCTTTAGGGACAATGACCGCTATAGTCATGGTCAGAGCCGTACTGTCGTAGTTTTCACCATAAGACTGACGACAGTGTTTTAGGGGTATCAACTTATGAGC